AATGGAAATGTTTTCCTTCTGCATGTAGAAAAAGGACATTTAGAGGGCTAGATTTGCTCTTTTTTAATAGAGGGGCAACAGAGAGATGCAGTTTCATTCCAAAATCAGATCTTAGCTGGGTTCAGGTTCCTCCTGAATCCCCTTTGTCTCTCACTGCTGCCTACAGGGATGACACAGAATATCAGGTCTTCCATCACAGGTGCCTCAGGAAGATGCTAAAATGAGGTGGGGGTGAATTCCCACATAAATAATTTGCTCTAGTTGCCTCAACTTAGGATAGGTGAGTGATTAAATGTGATTTTTCAAAATGCTGGTTGACATTTCCACAATTCTTGATCCTGCAATAAACAGAAAACTTCTCTGTAGCAAACACAAAGACAACACATCTCATACCTGCCAGCCATTTCAGATTGTATAGCCACCATTTTCTCCTCAAATTTGGAACAAAACAGCCAACAGCAATCTTTAACACTAAGATATAAACATCTACTGTGGGAAGAAATAGTATTTTGTTCCTGAAATCCACTCTGTAGCATATAATCAAGAACTGGACCTTTTTATTACACAGATACGTGTTTCACGAAAAAACGATTCCCTTGACTGCAAATGATTTGGTGTTTTTTTCTAGTCCTGAAAGAGAAAAAAAAAAAGTATAAATCACATTTGCAAAAATAAATTTTCCCCAATAAATGCTTTTTGTAAGATCTGTAAAATTGCAGTTATAATGACAGGTCTTTTAAAATGCATTGTTTGGAGTTCCTCTGGATATCCCTTAGGGCATTCTGCCTAGACTGACATCTTATCCCTGGAAAATTTTAAAGGAAATGAAGCTTCACAGTTCTCAGTAGGAGAATGTTTCAGCTGAATAAATGCAAGCAGATTCACAGTCCAGGAATTTCAGTGGAAAGACTGGTGATAATTATAAAGAAATCTCAGCCTCTTCAAATAAATTTTGCACCAGTTTGTCAGTAGAAAAAACCATGTTCCCCCAAATTGTTAAGATTGTGTAAAAAGGTATATGTTTACTTTTTGAACTTTTTTTCCGTCTAGTCTTAAAGCTGGTATTAAAATCTTCATATGATGGAGAGCTTCTTATATTTAGAGTTACTATTCAGTCCCTCCTGTTATTTGCAAAAATGTAAATGAAAGATGAATCCCTGTCTAATGCACTTAGCAACAGAATTTATTATTATACTTTTATTGTGAATTACACAGAAACTTAACCACAGACCTTCATCTTCACCCAACTTTCATCTGATGATGAACATGAAGCCACTCCTGACACTGCCAAATATTGCTGGAGCAAAGGGACACCACACAAACTGAGCAGGATTTGAAAGAAAATAGGAATAGTGAAAAGAGAGGACTTTACTGGAATGCTGGGTCATTCCTTAGGGTAAGTACAGTGACCTTGAACTTTGTCTTGGGTGCCAAAAGAATGTTTTTTCACCCCAAGTGGAAGAGGAGGGAAAGGGAAATGGAAAGGGAAAGGGAAAGGGAAAGGGAAAGGGAAAGGGAAAGAAAACACATAAATGGGAGTTGTCCTGATGTGAGTGGTGTCTGGACAGAACCAGGCAATTTTATCCCACACCAAGGTTCCTTCTGAAGTCTGTTCAACATTCAGTCTGACTAAGAGTAATTACTTTAATTGTGTTAAGAAATTTCTATCCAAATAAGTCAACATTCATGGTAACAAAAGGCTTTCTGTATCCATTTGAATCAGGGCTAAGCACCAGAATTAAGACTACAGGGAAACTGTTATTTTTTTTCCACAAACACAGTGTTTAGCTGAAACCAGAAAATGAGGAATTGTTGAGACACCAGCTCTATACACTTGTACATGTGGGCTGAACAATATGCCAGACTATTCCCATGTCAGAATGTCCTGCTGTATTTATCTGCTGCAAGACAGATGATGAGTATCAGAGGGAATTGTCAGTTTTCTGATATTCACTGGCTTTCCCCCAATCTTTATGTTTACATTGGGCATAGTCAGTTTTCAGGACAAACCTTCCTTCATCACAGAAGTTGTACCCACATAAAAAACCTCAGAAATAATATTTTGCTCCAAGCATGATGTAATAAAGCCATCATTCCCCTAGATTTATTTTTTTTCTCTTTTTTATTTTTTATAATGGCAACATGTGTAGCTGAACATTCAGTGCAAGACTATGAAAAAGCTTAATTCCTTAAATACTTAGCAAAGTCTCCTATGAAATTTCAGCCAGGGTATTAGTCATCAGAGCCCATTGTCCATTTTCCAGGAAGACTCTGATTAAGATAGATTTATGACCAGGTCCTGCTAATGCAACAGTCAGAACTGAATATTAATGATTGCCAGTCAGTTTGAATTAACCTTTCTTGGAGGAACTTGAGGCAGTTAGGATCTCAATTTATAATTTAATTTAATGGCAGTGGGTTTGGCTTTAAAATCATCATCTATTACGCCAGTACTTGGATATTGCAGGAATTGAACCCTAAAAAATTTGCTTTGATCACAATAATATTAGTACATTAAGAAACAATATGTAAGAAACTGCACTGATACTACAGATGTAAGGAAGAATTTAAGGACATTTGATCTGCCCAAGGGTGTTCCTGGTCTCCCAAATCTGTTCAAGAGGAGTGCTTGTCACTCAGGGGTTCTGCTGGCTCTGTGTGAATAGCTAAAGACTCCTACACAGAAGCAAGTGGATCAAGCCTTGTTCATTTACCAGTCCTGTGGGAAAACACTGTAACATTTACTCCCTTGTGAAGTAAATCGGACAGCAGAAGTAAATTGAAGAAGAGCTTTTATCCTGTGGTTTCCACAAGCAACCCATTGTTCTGTCTCTGTTTTCCTTTTTTGTTTCCTGTCTCAACCACAGACACGCAGCTCTCTGCGTCCCATCAGGAGCCCAAAGAAAAACAAACACAAAACCTGCAAAATGTTCTGTTGCTATGGAACATTCCAATGGATGTTAATCATCAATTATTTAAGGTAATGACAGCAGATTAGCAATTTTTCAGTATATAAACCTGCCTAAGCCACGTTGCTCGTGACCACTCAGGAGAGCACAAACCCTTCCCATCCCTCACTTCCACTGCATCCAGCAGAACCTCCAGCAGAAAATTCATCTGACCTTGAGCCAACTCCACAGCCCCACTAAGTTTCTCAGTGTACTGTGATGACAGCACACCCATCTCAGCTCATTCCAGTGCCCAGATCAAATGCAGACAGTGGCTGGAGCTGAAGGAGTAGGGCATTGCCTAATACACAAGTCCCGTTGATAAAGTTTTTCTGTTCCAACCTCTTTGTCTCCTTTTGTCAGTCCTAATCACAGCAGCAGGGTTCTTACAAAAAGGGGATTTGTAATTTCTTCACTGTCTACTCTGCTGCTTTGCTGAAGGCCAGCTTTGGGAGAACATTGTCAGGCTTTTTTTGTGGGTGAAACATGCCACAGTGTCAGTCTGTCCTCAAAGGAGAGCTGATCTGACCTTATGCACACACATTCCAAGTGCCTCAATCTGTGTGAAATTCTCTGTACAACATGAAACTCTCTTTTGCCTTTTGTCAATATCTGCCTGATATGTTAGTTGATATGGTTTGTGGAGGTGAAGGAACGTCTCTGTAACCACAGTGGTAGCTGCATAGAACAGTTTCAATGGGAAAGGGGCTTAAAAATCACTTCAGTATCACAAAAGAAGTGATCCAATTTGGCATACCATCTGCTAAATGCCTTGTTACCAAATATCAGCTGGGGAAAAAACTTGCAATGGGTTTATGTATAAATAGAAGATGTCAGTTTGGAAGCTTGTCAAACCAGCAGTTTTCAGGAAACTATTTGTAGAAGAAAGATGTCAGCTTCCAATTTTATTTTTGTTCTCTTGAAGATGTATCTTAGAATTGACATGATTTTTTATTCTTTGCAATTAAAGAGCAATCAGCTTCCCTTTATGATAGTATGTTTATTCCTCCTTAGTAGAAGTTTTGTAGTAATTGACCTATTTTCTATATAATTTTCACAGCTGAAGCAAGATAACCCTATATAAAATAGTTTTGAATTGACTTATTTTCATATTCTTTACACAGATGAACAGACAGTCCTATATAAAATTAAACCCTACTATTAGTATTCTTCCTCTTTCCAGTGTTCATTTACTCATATAAATCCCACTGGCAATAAGGCAATTACACCACAGATGGTAGAGTTCAAACAAATTAGATTCTACTTCTCCTCACAAATAGCTTCACTGCACAAACTTCTCCAAAGCACGTATGTGCCGAGCCCTCATCTTGCCACTCAATTGCTTGCATAACATCACCAAAATGCTCTCTTTTATCTGCATTTTCTCTTATCATCTGCGCCTCTTCACTGGCTCCTTCGCTCGCCTTAGCTGGCCCCTCACAGCCAGGTGCCCTTCTCTGCTTGCTGCCTTCAAATGCAAGCCAAAGACAAACTTCAGGTGTTCAGCTACTCCCAGAGTGCTTTTCCCATATTTTGCATCTCTTTCTTCCAATCCCACTTTCACTCTCCCACCTCCCCACATGTGCATATGCACTTGCCTTCTGTACTTTTCACCCCTAGAACACAGACTGTGTTTCTTCACATGTCCATAGAATGGCTTTTTACAAGGAGGCTTCAACTCTGGTCACATCAGGGGTTCTATTTTTCTGTAAAGAAAATAATTAATATCTTCATTAACAGAGCAAATCCCTTCCCCTGCAGGTTTTTCATAGATAGATAGATTTAGTCTTATTCCAGCAATCAGACTTGCTTGGCTGCTGTTTAAATAAGAGAATTCTTGCCTTGTCATGGAGGAGAGCTGAGGCAACCTCTCTAAATACAGAACAGACAAAGCTTGAGGAGCCACGACATCAAATGAAATCCCAGAGCACTGCAAAGCCAGAAAGGTCCCAACACGATGTTCCTCTGGTGGAATTACCTCGGAACACGTTGACGCAACAAGAGGAGCGGAACCGCTCTTGCAAATTCTCTTCGTCTCTGGGTTGGGTAACCTCAAGTTCTGGATCACTTCCATCCAATTTCAGCCACAGCAGATGCCTTGTCCTCTGTGGGACGGGAGGGGTCCAAGGTGAATGTGCCTTTGGACAATCTGCCTGTAGTGTTTGTGATTTAAATTCATAGGACACGTATCCTCAGAGTAAAAGGGGCACCTCTAGCTATATTTATGAAGCTCAAAGGAAGACAGAATGACACCAGACCTGTGCATTTCAGCTGAATCAGAAAAGAGGTGGACAGAGGACAGAAAAAATATTCAAGAGATCCAACTTCAGCTCAGGCATCAGCGAGTGAAATAATGTAATTCTGAAACCAATATTTGACTGTGATCTTAATCGAATCTTAAAGATTCAGCATATCCTTATGAATAATTTTAAACTTAGTGGTCATAGGAAATCTCCCCTGCAAATACTAGGTTTCACATTTAAGGACAACATCAGATATTTATCACACTAAACCTAGGAGAATTTTAAATTGACTGCACTTTACAAACAGCTTTCTACTTTTCAGGTGATTGGATTGGTGCTTCCTGCATTTTGTGAGTGAAAATTTTCTTCTTTATTTTAAATTTGCCTTCAATTCTCCCCTTTTTAGAAAGAGTTTCTTTTATTGACAGAAAGATATTCAGAGCCCACTTCCAGAACCGTCTTGCTACTAAAGTTATTTTAATCATAAAAAATATGACCAGCCTAATTTCATTTAAGCAGAAATCTTGGCATTGAAACCCAGAGAAGGTAAATATCTGCCTCTAAGGTTTAGATAGGAAAACTAAACTCTGCCCAGAGCCTGACTGAGAGTTTAACTTAAAGAAGTTAAGTTAAAGTTAAAGTTAAGTTATCTTCTGTCCTCCATCTGGAAGGTATTTGCAGTGCTCTGTAAGATGTATACAGCAAGATATGGAGGCAATCCTGAAAGACTCAAGAGGACAAAAAGATGAAGGATTTAGGATGCTAACATGCCCAAACAGTGAACACAGAGAAGAACCAATAAAACTTGCCTGCTTTGAAAGTAGAAGAAATTTATCAAGGTAGAGTTTTACAGGAAAAAAAAAGTTGTGAAGGACATGGAAATAAATAAAAATGAAAACACCAGAAGCAGGAAAAAAAAACGGAAGTGGATAATTTATTCACAAATACAAATTTTAAAATTAAATTACTGAATAGACCAACAGCCATATTTATACTGTGTCCTGGACATATCTGTGCTGCTGGTTTTGTCCTGTTTGAAGAAAATTTCTCTCTTTGTTTCTTTAGTTGATTTATTTTTTTTTTATTTACTTCTTGACTACTGGTTATAGTTATTAGCAATTGCTTGTAGTTGCTTTTTTACACATTTAACTTTGCAATAGCAAAGCCTCATAGTAGCCAACAGTGAATATATTCCTTTGAGATGTACAGCCAAGTGTGTTAAAGATGGGAAAAGGACAGTTCCAAGTGTCTAATAATAACATCTAAATCATATAATTTGATGTATACAATATAATAGATAATAACTGAGATATTCTGGGTAAGTTTTTATTTGACTCAACTGAGGCATTAAATTTTAAGGTGGAGGGGAAAAGCTGGAACTGATGTAAAATGAGGTCATGGTATCTCGAGGAACTCTAGGGTTACTGAAGACTTCTGGGACTTTGTCATGGAGCAGGGAAAATTCACATCATGGCTTTGAAACTCCCCTAGTTTTGAAAACTAATGGCAGTTGGAAATACTGTAGGCAAAACACTGAATTTTAACACATGGCAAGGCATTACTTCTGTGAAATGCTGGATCCTGTGCTCCAAAAGTGAGAAGGACAAGAAAGAATGACAACACCAGAGCGGGAAGGGCTGATGCTGGCTGACCCCTCTGGAGCACACAGGGAGGCAGCAGCCAGTTAAGGCAAAAGATTTTAAACAACCAGATCCACTCAGAAGTGAATGGAACAAAAACATCAGAAGCTGTTAAGGAAATATTTCAGCAGTATCCTTTCCAATGCCAGAACTCAGGGTCTGAGCAGGAGTATCACATTTGATAGGAATTGATGCAAATTCATTTCCCCTCAGGTTGCAGAAGACCTGAGGTATGAAAAATCAGCATTCCAGAAGGACAAAAACCAGAAAGAGACCACTCACACAACCACCAGCCTTCCTCAAACCACATGACTAAAATAAAAATAAAATTAATATTAAATATTCATGATAACATGATTTAAAATGAAAATAAAGAATACTGCTACCAGTTGGAATATATATGTTTAGGAAGAAAATTAGTGTGGAAATCAGGAAAAAAAACCACTGCAAATACATGCCCAAAAGGCCAAAAAGAATTTATACCACAATTCTGAAAAACACCTTTGACCATCACTGATTTTAGAGCACAGTAACGGGAACTGTTGGATTTATTGCTGCGAGTGAGTTAGATGGACACAGAGACAGAAATAGTACTGGTGCTACAATCTGTCTACTTGACATGTACATGCATAAAGGAAAGGGTAATACTTAATTTGTGTTGTTTCTCAAATCCAGAAAGTTGAACAAAGTTATATATGGGTAAAAAGAATGGCTTGCAGGGCTAAAAATACACAAATGTATTAGGAAGAAAACACTGAAAAAGTAGGTAAGCAGTCAGATATGCAATGAAGCAGAGATGTTAAATGTATTCAAAAACTTATTCTAGTCTGTATTTTGAAAGAAGCAGAACACTTATCACTTTAGCATGACAAAGTATTATCTAGTCCATAAGTTACTCAGGAATGTATTATACCATGACTATAAGAAAAAAAAACCTCTGTAGCAAAACAAAACAGCTTGCACCTGAGGGAAAAACAAAAAACAAAAAACCCCCAAAAATAAGTAAAACAAAAGAAAACACACCCCCCCTCAAAAAAAAAAAAATAAAAAAAGAAAAATTGGCTCAGAGCTTTGTGCAGAGCTGTTGTCTATTTTCAGTATAACTGGTATGAGCAGAGTCCAGAATGATGGAGAAACTAAAACACCTACATTTTCAGAAAGTGAGCAGGGATGACAAAAAAACCCCAAGAAACTTTCTATAGCCCCCAATAAATTAATAGAAAACATGACTGAGCATTCATTTATCTAAGAGAGCAGTAAGGAACAGGGATATAAATTCTCTCTCTCAACAGTGTCTTTTGAAAAATAAATCACACAACATAATCCTGATTACATCCTTCAGGACACTACAAGTTCAGCTGATAAAGGAGACAGTAGAGATATAATGTGCTTAGATTTCTACAATACATTTGGCTGAGCACAGAACAATCTGATGAGAATATTAGAACATTACATTAGTAATAAATTCCAGTTTAAACAGATTAGACAACGACCCAATCTCAAAAATAGCCACTAATGTGAAATCATTAAATAAAGAGATTAGCTGTCCCTTTTTATGAGATTGGGATGACACATTCATTGAGACAGTAAAAATATCTGCTAGTAAATTCAATAAGAATAGGCAAAATTGTAAATCTCCATTTACAAATGGAGAGTAGGCAAAACCAGGGATCTTGATTACTATATTTTTAACATTTCCTGGTTTTTTTAATTGTCACAATGTATCTCCACAAGCAAGGGCTGAAATGCAGGTATACAGATCAGGGCCTCTGGAGACACAGGAGTATTTAGGAGTTCTGGATGTGAAGTATTTAGGAGTTCTGGATGGGTCTTCATGGAGCAAAAAGGAAAGCTGGGAAGGAAAAGTTAATTATTCATATGTCATTGGCAAAACTGAGACCAGAATGGTACTGTATAGTTCTGATTTTCACATTTTATAGGGAATAGTGAAATGCAGATGAACAGGTTGGTGGGAAATCATGTACTGTGGATACATACTTCCAAAAAAATGTAAAAAAGCTATCTTATACAATACCAGATGAAAAGCAGGAAGAAAAACAAATGTGTATATTCAGCAGTGAGTGTTTGCCCAGGGACTGCCCTCTTAGCTGTTGGTGGAAACCCAGACTCTGTCTCTTAGATGAAGTAGAGATGGTTCCTCCAAGAGATGAGAGAATGATGAAGAGGAGATGGAACCTTCCTTAAAGGTTCTGTGCAACAAAAAATAAAATTTAATTAATATTTGAAGCTCAGCACCAGCAGAACATTAGAAATTAATGGCCTACTAGAGACATTGAGCCAGGTTGTGCAGAGATCTCATTGCATGGATGTCATGGGTAGCTTGCTAGTGGTTGTTCTGGCAGATTTTATAAAGTTACATCTTTGTCAGGGCAGTCCTGAGCACAAATACAGGCTGGGTGGAAATGGACTGAGAGCAGCCCTGAGGAGAAGGACTTGGGGGTGTTGGGGATAAGAAGCTCAGTATGACCCATCAATGAGCACTTGCTGGAGCACCTCTCCTGTGGAGACAGGCTGAGAGAGTTGGGGCTGTTCAGCCCTGAAAGTTGAAACCTTTAAGTCCCTTCCAGTACCTGAAAGGGCTACAAAAGAGCTGGAAAGAGACCTTTGATGAGAGCATGGAGTGACAGGACAAGGGGGAATGGCATTAAAGTGAAAGAGGACATGTTAGACTAGATGTTAGGAAGAAATTCTTTACTGTGAGCGTAGTAAAAGGACCATCACAGGCTATCCAGAGAAGTTCTGGATGCCCTGGAAGTGTTCAAGTCAGGCTGGATGGGGTCCTGAGCAACCTGATTTAGGCAGAGGGGTTGGAATTAGGGTTGATCTTCCAACTCAAACTGTTCTATTATTCTGTGGTTTTAAAAATGATATATGTACACAGAGGGGCAGAAGAAATCTTGCCTTCATCTATTTATATACTGAACTGGCTAGAACACAGCCAGTAATGCTCTGCAAGCTGAAAAAGTCCATATTTCCTCAGCATTATACCTTGGCTATGTCTCACATTTTTGTACTTCCAGCAATAAAGGACAGCAAAAATGTGACTGAAGCAAATGTTGCTGAAGAGAGAGTGGAGGTTTTTTCCTGCACTCATTATAGCTGTGTTTTGGCACCAAGGAGGAAAGCTAAAAAGCTGTTGGTGCCCTCTTATCTTAACATTTCCATCCCAGCCATAGGCAGCCTGCAACGAAATCACATTTTCTAGTGTTCCATAATGTTACATCAAATGCTGCCATTCAGCTGGGAATTCCACTGCCCTCCAACCAACAGTCAGGAAATTCCCTATAGGATAATTGACAGTCTACTGTGAATTACTCAGCTATAAATAGCACACCATGGGTGCCTGGTGAAAGGATGATAAAACACAAGTGCAAGTTCAGTATTTATGAAGTCATTTGCACCACAGAGAAGTATTTATCGCTGTACTTACAGTTTTTTATATTTTTCCTTCTCCAATACATATAGAACAGGGAACAGCCAGCTATAAAGAACTGTGAAATATGATCTTTAAGAAGTTTGCTCTCTCTTTCATTTCTGTATTCTTTCTGTTCCTGCTCGTTTGCTAAAGCTCCTGCAGCATCATTCATATCTGATCAATTTTATCCTATCTTCCTCCAAACTGCTTTCCCATCAATAAACCTCCTCCATTCTTTGGATCAGCACAAAAGGCAGAGGAGGATGAGCGTGCTCAACTCGCCTGTGGCTTCTGCTTTAAGGAGCATCGAGACACAGAACTCAAAATTCCCCTTTAGTAAAGAAATTAATCCCTCATTTTCTATTCTCAACATTGAAGAGACAACTTGAAGGATCATATGGTTGATTAGAGAAGAAATGCCTCCCACTGAATGACAGAGAAAAGATTGGTAAATTTAAATATTAAATGCAACCTTCAGGAAGGTTAAACACCAACAGACATGGCTGTTATTTCTGCATGGACAGTGTGCCCTTATCCACACATACAGTGCTTCAGCAGTGTATGAAAAATAGATTATGACTCATGAAAATGAGCATTAACCCAAATACATAAGTGTTTTTGTATTCCCACATACTCAGCAGAAGCACACAATGGAAGTGGTAGGAATCTGAAAATGTCTACAATTGAAACATCCCTCCAAAACAAGAGTTTCCATCCTTGCTACATTAAAGTTGATCAAATAATTGCCTTGGAGTTCTGGTCATTGAAGCTTTTGAATCCATCAATAAATAATTACCATTAAAAACCACTCATCTTTTACTGAAAACAGAAGCAGAAATGTAAATCATTAAGAATGGTTCTTAAACCAATTCTGCTTCCCCCCCTCTGGCACAACAACACTCAAGCTGCTCTTTGGGGAGAAATGAGGAAAAAGTTATTTAAGACAGACTGGGGCCTTCATGTTTACTCAAAGTCTGTCATCCTAGTTTCCTGAAAGCATGATAGGACATAGTCACAGAGAACAAAAAAAAAGTAAAAAGAGGAGGCAATATTTTGTTTCCATCCTACTCCACTGCAGAGGAGAACAACCACACCACATCATCTCCAATGCCATAAACACAATCTCACATTTTAATGATTGTTTCAGCTCAGCATTGACCATGAGGTTATGTTGATTTTCCTTGAGAAGAATCAAATCTGTACCTGAGTAGGTCACTGCACATTGCTTGCTTTTGGGATGTGGTTTCCTACAAAACTCAGTCAGTAACAGGCAAGAAAATGAAAATAATAAATTAAGGGAAGAGGGGGAAAAGGTAAATAAGACCTAACAGGAAAAGAAGAAAGAACACAAGTTTCATATTGCAAGCAAGTACTGGGGAGGCTTGGGAGATGTAATACAAATCAGATCATTCTTCCTCATTCTATCCAGTGAGAATGTCTCCCAGAACAGCACAAGCCTCAGGGTACCATAGAACATCTTGGTATCTCAGGAAGTAAAGGACCTTTTCACTTCTATTTCATTCACCTGATCTCAATGTCACATTAAGTCCTCTAGGAAAAAAAAAAAAAAAGAAAAAAAGAAAAAAGAGATATTCTCATTCTTTTCTTTACTTGTTTCAGTTGATCAGCTTTTGTTCATTCACTTCTGATCACAGTCACCAGGCATGATCCCAACATTGGTCCCAGGTGGTGTCAGCAGACATTTGCTGAGGAACATTAAGTGTGTCCCCATGCAAATGGCTAAATAATGGCAAAGCTGCCCCCTTAGTGCTGTCTCTAATGAGCAGAAGAATAAATTACTGAGACTCAGCTGATGTAAGGGGATTTATTAAACTAATCTGACTCAACTGTTTATCTGAGTCA